GGACATTTACTTCCCAAACCCTGTGTGCTATACACACAGCGACTGAACAGCACTCTGCAAAGCGCTGTAAAATCTTTCAATTATCAGCAAGTACTTATAGATTTTATACCACCCTCGAGAAAGAGAGGAGAAAAGAAGCTTCATAGTAGAGACAAAGCAGAGAATAATTGGCTAGGTGAGAGGATGGATTTCAGGCTACAGCAAGCCACCAACTGTATCCAAGTCAAAGCCTCAACGGAAGTAAAAATAACTCTCATTTTGGAATGTATTTGCAGGGATGCCATCACTAAAGAGCCCTCAGGCCAAATCACTAAGCCTTGTCATGTTTGGGGAGTGTTTTTTTTTTTTTTTTCCTCTCCTTTTCTCCTCTGCATTTTGGATCTTCAATTTGCAATTGTGCCCCATTTTTAGCTTTCCCCTTAGCCACAGGGTCACACACTTAAGGCACTTTGACAGACTCAGATTTCTCCAAGATTCATGGCACTGGTGCCAAATGCCACCAAGCCAGTAAACCTGAGAGAGCTGGTACCACTGCTAAGCAAAGGAGCCCCCTTAAATTACCTTTTCCCGGCTCCCTGAACTCACTTACCACGCAGGAATGAACACGGATCCCTGCAGAAGCATTTGTGTTTCCCTCGATAAATGGAGCCGCTCGGTCCAGGGAGGCCGTGGGAGCCGACTGTTCCCCGGCAGCGCTGCTGGCTCTCGCAGCAGCACTGCGATGCTGCGCTCTCGTAAATCCTGGGTTTCTTCGGCCACATGAGCAAAGGATTCTCAGCTTCACTTAGAACCAGATCCTCTTCTGGGACTGCTAAACCATAGAGAAAGAGCTTGGAGATGCTGGAAATACATCAGAAAATTACATATTACTATTTTTTTAAGCACTGCTGCTGTGTGTTTTCAAAGGTTTATGGCCAAAGTACTGTACAGAGTATCTCAATTTCATTATGAAGCAGGAGGCCAGTATCCCAGGGAGCTCAAGTCCCAGTGACCGCACAACAAGATCTGTCCTTACAGCACGCTTCTGCTTCCGAGATGCCTAGGCTATGGGGTGCAGCTCCTCACGGGCAACCGCAGGCAAAGCCGCACTTCAAGCTCCAAGTCGAACCACTGCTGGGGCTCTGCGGCTCGCTCCGCTCAGCTGCCTCCCTTCCTAATCGCTCTAAATTTGAGTTACCACAGGAAATTTAAAGCTTTCAAATGGCACAAGTGGAGCTCTGCTCCTCGCTGAGGTTGCCCCAAGAGTCATACAAGAACACACAGGCTGCTCACGCAGCTCTCACCAAGCCCAGCTTGGAGAGCGGCGTTTGCCCTTACCTGTGCCTCAAAGTTATATGACCAAGGAAATATAATTGCTGAGTTTATGGGCTCTCAGGCCTAAAGCGTAGGAATAACACTAGGAGCTAGCACAACATTTCACTGCTATTGAATCTAGGCCATGGATCAGCCTTAAACTGGCTTAAAATGCACATGTGAGTTCAAACACACGGTGAAGGCTGCTAGGCCAAAGCACATAAACCTTTCAAAGCCATCACAGAAATCAAGGAAACACAACAGCCATTTCACCATCAGTTGTGAATACAGAGACTGCAAAATCAGAAAGAAACGCAAATCAGAAGCAGAGAGCAGGTTTTATGACCCTCCCTTCCATGTTGTCAAGCCAACATTGGGGCCTAAATTTGCCTAACTTTGACCAACTGACAATTTTATATGTTGTTTCCTAACTAGGCAACTTGCTTTGCCTGTTAACAGTCTGCAAAATCAAAACTGTTTCTTCAAACAGCATTCGTTCAATTTTTTTTTTTTTTTAAGCACTTGAGCTTGCAGCTTTAGATGTGTGTTTAAATACATCATCTATAACACACAGCTGCCAGACCAGTTTAATTTTGTCCTCAGTGATCCACGGAAAGAAGGACAAGGTCTGACGCTACAAGAAATAAAATAAAATAAAAAGAAGATGAGACTAGCTCCTATATAGTCTTCCCAGCAAATCCTTGCCTGATTGTCTCTTGTCTGCATGATTGATATCTGCAAAGGGAACATAAAAGCCAAGTGGTGAAGAGGACCAGAGATGGTGGTAGGATGAAAGGGGGATTCACCTGGTCATCCCTCATTCACTGCACCATTTGCTGATTTTTCAGTTACAGGTTCTTCCTGCTGTCCTATTAGTTTTTAGCCTCTTTGGGGGAAGCAGCAGCTCAGAGCCCATCTTGGCTCTCCCTGACATTTCACTAAGCAGAGCAGGAGGACACGGTGGTGGTTCTGTCCAAGCTCCCCAGATGCAGGAGCCCCACATCCGTAAGCCACGTGGCCGGGTGTGGCCTTTTGCTCTGCTCTCTGGAAAGTCTCGCGTTCAGGGAGCCCGTGGCAGTGGGCAGATACCATCTGCAGATAGAGAAATGTAGTATCCCCCCCTCCTTCTCCTGTTTGATTCCTGCGGGCCTTTGCTTTGTGGCAGGAGCCCTGGCAAGTCACATCTCCCGTGACGCAGCTGCCACCTGCAGGAGCCCAAGCTCCTCACTGGGAGCCACATCCTTTGGCGCCAACTGCCACCATCGGAGAGGCTTTTCCTTCCCCTCCACCTTGTTTGCTGTTTCTCTGCTTTCCATCTGTTCCTCCCTCCCTGCTCCTGGCCTCGCTACTGTCTCCATATGCTTACCCTGCCAATGTCTATGTTGTTCCTCACCTTCGCATATGCCCGTCTCCGTGACGGGACAGAGCTGCAGTCTAAGCTTTTAGCTGCCACCAAGCGTCAGAAGGAAATTTCTCCTTGAGATGCTGCCACCTGGCACACCACCACCAAAAAAGGTCAAAACCCCTTAAATGGACAGGCCCTTCCCTCCCATCCTCAGCACCAGGAGCCCACTTCAAAGCCCATCCTTTGTGGCTGCTCGGCAGTGCTTATGCCCCTTCCAAGTACAGCACGCTGACTGCAGGGAGAACCTCAGGGGCACCCCACATCTGAGGCCAAACAGGAGGAGACGCCCCAAAATCCAGCCCTCGTGTCCTGCCTAACCCCCTCCCAAACAGTTTCACCATTTAAGATTAACATGCTGAGGCAGGGAGAGGAATTAATGTCACATAGCTCACTCCTCTCATCGTCTCTCTCAAGCAGAGCCTTTTTAAAATTATTTACCTATCTTCGGAAGTAAAGGGCCTATTTAACAAGCCACACGCACCACGGTATCTTTTATCATGTTGTCAGCAAGCTGAGAGTGAAAACTGAAAAACAAGATTGTATTAGAGGGAAGAACTCCTTGTTGCAGCCCAAAATATATTCAATTATCCCTCCTTGCTGCAAAACTCTGCTAATGAAACACGCAGACCCCAAAGGGAAAAAACAGGCCCCTTAGCATAGCATAAACACAACAAGCAAATACTGGCCTTATTTCACTTCTAGCCATCTTTCTTCACAACTGGATGGAGACGATGGAAATCCACGCTCAGCAGCATCACCGCCGCTTTGGCATTTCTCCTCGCATAAGTCATGACTTTCTTGGGCTACCGAACCAAGGAGCTGCGCAGGTACCAGGACACATCTGATACAGCTTTCGAGACCTAAAAAAATTTTTACCTAACCTGCTACAACAGCTAGCAACAGTCTTAAACTCTCCTAAATGTGCTTTGCAACACACAGATTTTGCTTTCCTTGTGACAGGAACATGCTTGGCACCTTCGCCACAGCTCACCCACACCTCAGCCAGATGCACCAGTGCTGCAGCCCAGGGATGAAGTGAGAGGAAGTATGGATTTGGTCACATGGGTTTGAGTTAAAATCAAAAAGGTTTCGTGTTAAAATGTACATGGGTCAATGTGGCAGATGCACACTTGCGTCTGGGATGTTCAGCTGACTTTTGACTCTGAAACTGTAAGAGTCTTATTGAAGGGGAGTTGCTCTGACCGAGTTGTACCTCTGGCTCCGCAGCTGCCACCAAGCAAATTGCGCCGGTCTCACCTGGGGATAAAGCACCAAAGACAGGATTAGTCCAGTCTGTTATCAAAGCTTGGAAGATCGTCTGCATGACGCAATCCTGACTTGCTTCCCCCTCTCTGTGCACCGCTCTTGTTCATTACATATGTTAATATGCAATTGCTAGCTTGGGTCACCCTAATGCCCATAATCTTTCGCTGGTGGTGTCCAGGCAAATGAGAACACTGCAAAAAAGTATCCGATTACAAACAGCAAGCTGGAGGCATGGCATAGAGCTGGTTTTCAAAACTATGTCAGAAGCTACTAACAGTGGGCATCAGTGAAGCCACTTTTTTGCCAAACATTCCTTCAGAAAAACAAGCAGGATGTTCAAAATAATTTTTTCTTGTTTTTAAGCATTTCTGAGAAACTAGAGGAACCATTTTAGAAAAAAAAAAAAAAAAGTGGGGAGATGGGCAAAGAATAAAAGATATCCCGCACCATGCAGTCCTTCCCCAGCTGCACCCAGGTGAGGACATGGGCAGCTTCACTGTCATGCCAGCCCTCAAAGGAGAAAAACAGGCCATTGCCCAAAAAGCTAACAGGCAATGCCTAAAAACGCAACCAGTCACTACCAAGAGCCTGTAAAATCCCAGGGTGGGTCCCACGCAGGCTGGGCGCTCGCAGTGCCTCTGCCCCCTTGTCCGCTGTGTAAATAAATCTCAGCAGCCACCAGGAGCTCAGGAGCAGGGCTGACAGCACAGCAGGGAGTTTCCTGCTATTTCAATATATATTTTTTAGTAAGCCCCCAGGGTGCCGATGTCACCAGCCGCTTTTCTGGCTCTGCAGGTGTTGCCAGCAATGCCCTTGGGAACACTTCCTTGGGGTACGAGGCTGCATTTGGAAATAAGCAATTTCCCCCATGCAAATTGCAGAAAAGTATCCCAAAGAACACATGATAATACCAGAGTGCTCAAATTAATTGCTTGCATGGCAGGCAACCAGTAGGTAAATAACCAACATCAATATTTTCACATTTCAATTTCTATCTTGCACCGCTAGAAATTATTCTCACATTTAAATAGCACACTTACACTTAAACTAATCAGGACTTAACAGTTGAGACACAATTGAAAAATACCAGGGGCATCTTATTTGAGCCGCTAGTGCTGATTATCCTGTATTTTCAAAATTGTAATTGGAGGACTGTAACCTTTTTCCCCCTAGCTACCACAGCAGAAAATTGCCTTTTTTAAGTCACTTCTTCTGAAATTTTTACTGGTATCCGTAAGCACACCTCTTGCCCATATCAAGACTTTTGTTTCCCTTGCATGAACACGTACTGAGATGCTGGCTAGTAACCGAGGGGTTTGTCCTGGACAATGTTTGAGATACATGTTCTGCCTTAGTTTTGGTACCTTCCTTAAAGGTCAGCACCCATCATACCTAACCCGACTTGTAATTGCCCCAGTAAACATGACTGAACAGATTAATTTAAATGTTTAAAACACACACATTAAACAGCACATTTAAATATACAGGATTATATTACATTTGTTTCTGTTCCTAATGAACCCAATAACAAGAAACGCAGCTACAGCACTTTTCCAGTGCACAGACACAGTTTGTGCTTGTTTCAGTTACCTTGAAAGGCCCTTTTCCACCCCAAAGGCTGGGTTTGCCCATGCTGCTGATGGGGGCATCCGGGCACTTTGGCCACCAAACCAAAGGGCGATGGAGGTGCCACAACTCATCTATGCCACCCCACATGCAGTAACACTTATTTAATGGATTAAAATGATAACGGAGAACTGGAGGAGCACATGGCTGAAGCAAACTTCTCCCCGAAACCCCGGCAAGGTCCGTCGTCCCCGGCCACCCGCCGTTGCCCCACACAGGATGGGGCCAGACCACCAGAGCCCTGGCGAGGTCGGCTGCAACAGTTACTGCGTTTCTTGCCAGCGCTGAATTGGGAAGCTCCTGCATGTCTCCATAGCACAACACAAGAAATCCGGCAAACCAAACCGCTTCTATAATGCTGCTTCACTATCTGTGCCTGCAATCAAAATACAATTTTTCAGCAGCAATTGTGTTTCTCCTGCGAGAAGGGAGCAGAGATGCCAGCCAAAGCCCCAACAGGAGCAGCCGCGGGTTCCTGCGTAAAAAACAAACAGCTCTCGTCCCTCCAAACCCCACAGCTATGATATTTAATACAAACAGCAGGCTCCGTTCCCTGACGGAGTCAGGGTAAAGAGATTATTCAAAAGAAAAAAACATATCGCCCAACAAATAAATATTAAGTGAAACAAAATAACTACAGAAAAATCATAATTTCGAAAGCACAACTCCTGTCAGTGTCTAGCCTAAGAAAATTGTTGGCTGATATTGGACTAATACCCGCAGTGGTGTTGTCGAGCCCACTGAGGACGACGGCGAGACTGCGCTTGACGCACCGCGCCGCTGCCGCACGCCGGGGTGGGAGCAGCTAAATCGGACCCGGGCTGGTACGCTGGGGCAAACGAACATCTCCTGCCAATCTAGAAAAGTGCACGCTGCCTTCCTCCACAAACATATCACATACACAAAACAGGCATGGTAGGACAAGAGGCGCAATAACCTTAAATATCTGCTTTTTGTACATTGGCACGGATGCCCCGGGCCGCCACGGCCCCACAGACGCGCTTTACGTTTAGTTTACTATGCGCGTAAAGTTTTGCCCAAAGGCTCTGGGTTCTGTCAACCTTCCTCCACACGGGATGCTCCAGGCATGTGCAAGCCTGAGCCTATATCTGCTTCCCATGAGCATCATCAAAACACATTTACTTATTCTCTACTCAGCTATGCGTGTGCTACGTCAAACTCGTATTTGGGGATAAGTATGCACGTGCCAAACGTGGTATCTGCACGTTACTTAAGTTTTTAACATATTCCCAAGAGCTGAACAAATTAATACTTTGATTAACTTGCTGCTTGCTCATGTGTGATTATTTTCTGAAATTAATGCATTATTTAAATTTATTCAATAAAATTGCTTCTGGGGAGGTTCTCCTCTGGGCTGATGATAAACACTGGAGCTCAGACACGCGTAACCAGAGGTGAGGGGCTGCAGCTGTAATCATGCAGGTAACGGCCGGGTGCCAGCGCACTCCCTGGGCGCAGGTGCGCTCCCGCACGTGAGCCAAATCCAGCGCTCGGGGCCAGCAACACAACCTCAACATTTGCTTCCATCAGACCTTCAGCCAAATAAATCATGAGACCAATTAAGATTAAGAAAGTACAATTAGTACTTTCTTAACAAACAGTCTTCCATATTCTGTCTCACCTCAGAGCTAAGAAACAGCAACCTCAGGTATTCTGGAAAGTTTCACCACCTTAACTGGCATTAGGAGCAGCGCAACTGGAAAAAAAAAAAGCACCGGCTCCAGCGCACTCACAGCACACGAGCAGGTCTGCATTCATGTAGTGAGCAGCGACGTCCTGCCAGCGTACCGTTCCTCCCGACTGCCCCGCGGCGCACAGTAAATAACCGTGCTTTATTCTGCCCCTCCCAGGCAAACAAACATGTGCAAAATGCGTTTTTCATCCTAAATGAAAGAGTACCAGCTGACAGATAGCTCCTACGCCAAAAACAGAGAGAGAGTGCAGAGGACAACAATCTGTTCATTAGTTCTTTGCTAAACCTGGAATCGGTGGCTTTTTAAACAACCAGAATCAAAAGAGAAAAAGATAAAAGGCCCTGTTATTTAAATTTGTTCGGATCCATTTGGATGCTCCTGTTAACATGCAGAGCGGAGTTCTGCGGTTTATGTACACCGATTCACCTGTTTCTTCAATTCAAATGGCCATAATGATTTTTGACTGTACTAAATATAAGTAATATACTGCTCAAGTGACTTACCCAGTTGGAACACCATTAAAAAAAAAGCAGAATTCAACAAACGTTGCCAGAAGAGTGCCAGTGCTGCAAAGTAACCAGCAGCAACCCACCCCGAGGAAAGGCAGCTCAGGGCATCCCAGAGGGAGCTGTGAAACGCCACTATGGTTATTGGAAACATTACACCTAAAAAGCAGTTGTCAACTCCTTAAATACATGGAGTGCCAGGTTTAGAAGAAGGTTTCTGGCCGAGTTTAAATTTGTTGCCAAGTGCCAAACGACTGCAGAGAAAGGAAACCCGGCGCGTTTCCTCTGTATAAGTTAGCCCCTGCTGCCACCTGCAGTTCCCGTAAAACACGGTCTCGGAGCAACGCCGTTTCCAGGCAGAAGCCGGGCGCTGCCCTGAGTACCAAACCGGGCTGGTGCCTCCAACCAGGCAACTGGCAGTGCCACCCCTTCGTGGTGCGTTTTCTGCCGTTTCATGTCATTTGTGCTCATCGCATGAAGGCGGGCAGCATCCTGCCCAAACCTGAGAGCAGGACACCCAAAACAGGAGTGAAGCTATTAATATCTAAATGTATATATGGCTCCTCTAACCTACAATTTGCATTTTGACTACTGGCACATATGGAAAGCAGCATATTACCAGACTCTTCCCCAGTGACTGAAGGACTGGGCCCAGGAAAGAGGCCAACAGGGCATCCCGCACCCCAGGAGCCTGGCCCTGGGGCTCCCAGTGTGTCCCCAGGCAGGCAGCTTTTTCATCGTGAAAAGACTACATCTGTGCCTTAGCAAACAATGCTTTTTGTCTATGTAGGCAGCACAATTCCCTTCAAGAAATCAAGAGCAAAACCATTTTCTGAATTCACAGAGCAAGGCAGGGTCCCAGCATAACACCACCCCTCCCCAAAACGTTCATCACAGGCTACCGCAATGATTTATTTTTGCTGAGGGTGCCCAGCTCTTAGGACAAACCAGGCAATCAACAAAACTGAACCAAGAAACAACCTCAAGGTTTTGTTCTTCAATCATATATTCATGAGGCAACTTACTGGTATTTGGGATGCAGCGAACGCGTTTCCCAAACCTGCTCTTGCATAAACATCCTTTTTTTTTTTTGCAATTTACTTCCTGTATTCTTAAAGTCGTTCTCTTTTACCTTTTACTTATC